AGTCCAGCGGGTGAGGGATGACCACAGGGCCATTACGACTTACTCACTTACACATTTAGACCATAACTTGATCATTACTTGCTCATTTCTACCTTTGCTTTTGTAGGATCTGGCGGTAGCAGCAAAGGATGCCATGGCAGGTCAGCTGGAAATGCTGAAGGTGAAATACGAGGAGGCTGTGGAGGCCAGGAAAAAGGCAGAGCTTGAAATTGAAGCCTTCAGACCGGTAAGGTCCAACTTAATACAGAAAGTGTAACATCACTTGGTTTTGCACAATGATTGGGGCTCAAACTCCCTCTGTCTACTAGGATGTGGATGCAGCCACATCCGCCCGAATTGCCTTGGAAAAACGACTGGAAAACCTGGAAGTGGAGCTTGAGTTCATGCAGAGGATTCACAAAAAGGTGCATTTCAATATAATATTATTTAATATTATAAATCTCATCAAATTATTATAAATATAATATAATATAATATAGTATAATATAATATAATGTAATGTAATATGGCAACATATGTTTTTCCATTACCGTATCAAAAAAATAAACCACTTTCAACTTTATTTTTAAGTTATATAAGATTTAACTACATTTTTTAAGTCAGTTTAATATTATTTTAGATGAATTTATTTTTCTTAAAAACCTAAGACAGCAACATTTTTTACAGTGTGCCAAATGTACAATTTTGTTGTTAAATGTGTTAGAAATATAATCAGTGTTATAAAAAAATATAGAGAATATTGTTGAATTGCTGTGTGATTTTATTGACAATCACTGGGTATTTCATTGCATTAATAAGGTAAATAATTAAAAAGTTTTGATTTATCTACATTTTCTGTATGTCAGGAAATCGAGGAGCTGATGGCTCAGATTTATGGATCAGTGGCTAAAGTAGATGTGGCCTTCTCTTTGCCTGATCTGGCATCCGCCCTCAAACAGATCCAGGCTCAATATGACAGTATCGCCGCTCAAAACCTGCAGGTAATCAGGATGAGACAAAAATAAACCTCAATATCTCTTAAACTGAACTGTTTTGCTCACATATGCTCATGTTTTCCCCAACCGGTGTTCACTAGGAGATGGACGCTTGGTATAAAGCGAAGTTTCAAGATCTAAACAAAGCAACGTCACGGCACGTGGAAACAGCGAGGAGCGTCAGAGAGGAAATCACAGCTTACAAGAGAGAGGTTTGGGAAATGGGCAGTATTCCTGTCCTGTGCCTCATATAACAAAAGCACCTAACTGTACTGCCTTATAAACTTAATGCTCATGTGTTTTCAGATTCAGAATAAACAGAGAGAACTGGACGCTCTTAAGAACAGGAATGAAGCACTGCTGCTCCAGATGAAGGAAGCACAGGAGAGATACAAGAAAGAGGAGGAGGAGCTACTGGTAAAGCCACACCCCCTTCAATGTAGAGAGAACATGTCACATTGGCTGCGTCCAAAATCACATACTAAGTATGTACTTATTTTGAAAAGTAATATTACTTGACAACTGTTAAAAAACGCATTATATATAGTATAAATTTAATCTGGACCTATATCGGCGTAGGTTTGTTGCTATACACTTAAATTCCCAAATCTGTAGACTAATGGATAGTAAATAGTGGATAGATACTGGATGTATAGTACTGTAGCTTCTTAATATATTTGTTTATGCATAAATTATTGATTGTTTGTACTGTGTTATGTAAGCTGTATTGTGTACTGGCCAGGTCATGGAGTCCAAGATGAATTTCCCAGAAATGGGACAATAAAGTATATTCTATTCTATTCTATGCTAAAGTGTCCATCATATTTGCACATCAGAATATCGATGGACATTGTAGGTCATCCAGCTACATTTTATCTACTGTTTTATGAATGCTGTAAATTCTACTCTTTTCACATACTATCTAACAGATGATTTCGAATGCAGCCAATCAAATTGATCAACTATAGATTTTTTAGGGGAGAATATCATTGAGACCCAGGGTGGGCACTTTGATTTGATTTGATTTGAAGATCTCACTAAATCATGTGTCATAGATCCGTATTGAGACGCTAAAGGAGGAACTGAAGTCTATTAAAGGGAAGATCGCACTTCTGCTGAGAGAATATCAGGATCTGCTCAACGTTAAGATGTCGCTGGAGATTGAAATCACCACATACAGGTACTGCAGGGCTGCCATCACACCTCATCACCTCGAACGAGCAATACATAATATCTCGCAATTTAGACTTTTTTTAAGATGCAAAATCAGAATTGCGAGAAATAACCTCAGAGTTCCAAGATAAAAACTCTCAATTCTAAGAAAAAATTCAGAATTGTGACTTTTTTCTTGCAATTCTGAGTTTACATTTCGCAATTCTAACCTTTTTCCCGTCTTAATTCTGAGTTTATATCTCGCAATTCTGTTTTTTTTTTCCAACAAGGTTAAATTGCGACTTTTTATCTTACAATATTGACTTTTCAATATTGAAATGTTTTTCTTGCAATTAAGTTTATATCTCATAATTCTGACTTTTCTTCTCAGAACTCCAAGTTTAAATCTAGGAATTCTGTCTTTTTCCTTCAGAATTCTGAGTTTACATCTTGCAATTCAGTTTTTTTTCCCAACAAGGAATTAATAAATTAAAAATTGTGACTTTTTATCTTACAATATTGACTTTTTTCTTGCAATTGAAAGTTTATATCTCATAATTCAGATTTTTCTTCTCAGAACTACAAGTTTAAATCTAGGAATTCTGTCTTTTCCCCTCAGAATTCTGAGTTTACATCTTGCAATTCAGTTTTTTTTCCAACAAAGAATTAATAAATTAAAAAGTTAATTGTGACTTTTTATCTTACAATATTGACTTTTTTCTTGCAATTAAGTTTATATCTCATAATTCTGACTTTTCTTCTCAGAACTACAAGTTTAAATCTAGGAATTCTGTCTTTTCCCCTCAGAATTCTGAGTTTACATCTCGCAATTCAGTTTTTTTTTTCCAACAAGGAATTAATAAATTAAAAAGTTAATTGCGACTTTTTATCTTACAATATTGACTTTTTTTCTTGCAATTGTAAGTTTATATCTCATAATTCTGACTTTTCTTCTCAGAACTACAAGTTTAAATCTAGGAATTCTGTCTTTTTCTGAGAGTTTACATCTCGCAATTCAATAAAAAATAAAAAAGGTAATTACAACTTTTTATGTCACAATTCCAACTTTTCTCTCGCAATTGCAAGTTTCTGACTTTTTTCCTCAGAACTGCAAGTTCATTTCTCACAATTCTGTCTTTTTTCTCAAAATTGTGGGAAAAAGGTTTTGAATTGTGAAATAAAAAGTTACAATTACCTTTTTTCATCCCATGGTAGAAATGGGCTTCCATAATATGGTGATTAAAAATGGTTAACACTTTGCCATATACACATAGTTCAAAATTCTTGGCAACTATACCCATGTCTAACCCTGTTTGATTCACCTGTGGTTTTGCAGGAAGCTGATAGAGGGAGAAGACAGTCGCTTGTCCAGTATGGTGAGCGGTCTGTCTCTCATGAGCGTGAGCGCAGGAACGGTCAGCAGTGTTTTTGGGGCAGCAGCAGCCCACAGTGGAGCGGTGAGCTCAGCTGCCTCTGAGAAGATGCTCTCCAGCAGCACAATAGTTGACCACAACCATCACGAGTCTCTGGAGTTCACTCACGAGCAGGCTGTAGAGATGACGGAGAGGAAGACCCTCCTCATTAGGTACAAGTACACCACTCCAACACAATATTACAAAACAAAACAATACTTTTTCAAGTTATTATATTAAAAGTCCATTAAAATGCATGTAAATGTTTCTTAATGTTGTTGTAGAAGCTAATACCCATCTCTCTTTGGTTGTAGAACAGTTAAGACAGATGAGGACACCTTTCAAAGGGACACACAAGAACGTACCATCACTATCTCTGGTGCTGCAGAGGAGAACGATTGAATTAGAGTCATGTGATCTCCCTCCAAACCTCCATATCAAAGTTTATTCATTTAGAGTTGTTGTTGCTCAGATCTCACATTCCATTATCAAAACCTGTGACAAACCAAACGTCACAAAAAGTCTCTCGACCTTTGCTACCTGCTTTGTGCTTTGACTAAACTGTAACTGGGTGTATTAAGCGTTTAACCATGTGTCAACTGATTCTTCACAACAAATAAAGTTTGATTGCATAGCAGCAGTGCCTGAGGTTGTTTTAGTGCAGTTTTTCTGTGTCTGAAGTGCATATATGGCATACTCAGAGAAGCAATGCTCTCATATAGCAAGAAAATTTGATTTTTTTTTTTTACAGGAAGATGGTGATAAAATATTTATTTGATTATTTGATGAGTACCCATGCAGTAACTTTATAGCAAAAAAACATTGGTATAAAATCACATAATGCTACATCCAATCCAGTATGCTTTACATGAGTTCTAATTCACCCAATCTCTATTTTATTTAGTACAATAAGGTTTTTATTAGAAAGCTGCCCAATATCGTTTGCACATACACTACTATTGAAAAGTTTGGAGTAATTAGTTTTTGTTTCGTTTTGCTTTTTTTTTTTAGAGAAATACTTTTACTTACTAAGGATGCATTTAAATTGATCAAATGTAACAGAAAGACTATTACATTGCCACAAAAGATTTCTATTTCAAGTAAATGCTGTTATTTTGAACTTTCTTTTCATCATAGAATCCTGGAAAGGAATTACCATGGTTTCCACAAAAATATTAATCAGCACAACTGTTTTCAGCATTGATAATAATCAGAAATGTTTCTTGAGCAGCAAATCAGCATATTAGCATGATTTCTGAAGCATCAGGAGTAATGATGCTGAAAATTCAGCTTTGACATCACAGGAATAAATTACATATTAAAATAGATTTAAATAGAACCATATTTAAATCGTACTAATATTTCACAATATTGCTGTTTGTACTGTATTTTTATCAAATAAATGCAGCCTCGGTGAGCAGAAGAGACTTCTTTCAAAAACATTCAAATATCTTACCCCAAACAATTGAAAGATATTTTCTTCTATAATCAATAATCTATTTAAAAAAAAATAGCAAAACTTGATTTTTCTGTAATTAAATTAGTGTAAACAAAGGCTCACACAGATCACGGTTTAACATAATCATACACTTCCATTTATAAAGATTGTTGGTCATTCATACAGTACAAAGAGTAAACTATTAACATCCGTCATCTCCCAAAACATTCAAAACAATTTTGCAACAAATACTAGTCTACTGTACATTTACAGTATTCATATATTTCACTGGATGGATTCAGACTGACTGCTTGCATGAATGCTTGATTAGTGTAAAGGTTTTGGCTCGTCTCCGACTCCTCCAGCGAGACGATACACAGCCAGACTGACCTCATGAGCCAGACGATCAGCATTTTCCTGCACATAAACACAGAAAATATACATTTACAATTAAATATATTGAGATATATAATGAGCATAATAATGATGTGTACCTGTGTGTCAGCCTCAGCATAGACTCTGACCACATCTTCAGTTCCAGACGGTCTAACGAAGGACCGAGCGGTTTTGTATTTCTTAACAAGCGAGTCGATGGCGTCCTGCAGACCCTCTGGAGTCACGGCCCTCCTTTCTGCATCTGTTGTATCTATAACACGCCGGTCTGACACCTGCAGAGTACAACAGTTAAACATACACACAAACTCATACACCTCACAGACACACACACAAGCACACACCGTGACTTTAAGTTGGCGGTTGGGCAGGTCTGTGTAAATTGCGTGCCAGTCTTGCACAGACATCCCTCTGATGGCCAACACTGCTTCAATCACTAGCATATCCAAGATTGCGTCTCCCACCGTCTGCAGAAGAGAGAAAGGGAGTTAAGTATTGAAAAACAAAATAGTTTAAATAAGACATCTGATGATCTAGTTTGATGGTGTTTGTGTTTGTCTATACCTGGTTGATCAGATTGATTGTGCTCTCCAGGAGTTTCACCGCTCGTTTTCTCTCATCGTTTGTGTTTGGGTCTTTCACCAGCTCCTGAATCTGTTTCTGTGCTGCTTTACTAAACAAAACCTGCAACATACCAGCAAAAAACACTGGTTATAGTGTACTAACAAACTCAAAAATCATAGATTTTAAAGTCTCTAAACTGGAGAGCTAGATCAAAAGTTAGCTTGAATGGGCCAATCACATAAGCATGCATGTAGAATTGTTGTCCGATGGACTGAAATTCGCTGAACTCATTTGCACAATGAAAAGACGTTTGACCAGCAGAAGAACTAAATCAAACATGAAGGAGATGCTAAACTGGGTGGTTTCACATGAATACAATTTTAAAAGCATTTCAGCTTTATCCAAATGAGAAGCTGCACAGTTTGCATTGTTATGGAAAACTGAAGTATCGTTGAACAGTTTAATAACAACAGCATGACATCATATCACTGCTGATGAGAGTAGCGATCTTGTCTCCGTCCAGCAGATGGAAGCAGCCTTTGGAGTCGGTGTAATAGTAAACAATGCGATCGGCATCACCATCGAACGAGCAGCAGCGCTCACCTACTCCCATATTCATACCTCGAGAGAAAAAAGTGAGAGATTTCTCAGATAATTCTGTATGAAAGAATGATGTGCACTACTGGTCAAATGTTTGGAATAATAATAACAACAAAGATTTTTTAATCATTTTAAAATAAGTCTAATATGCTCACCAAGGCTGCATTTATTTGATCAAAATACAGAACAAAACTGAAATATTGTTAAATATTATTAGAATTTAAAATAAGTTTTCTGTTTTAATATTCTCTAAAAATTCCTGTGATGGCAAAGCTGAATTTTTTTCTGCAGTCTTCAGTGTCACATGATCCTTCAGAAATCATTCTAAAATGCTGATTGGCTGCTCATTAAACATTTCTTATCATTTGTATATATTGAAAACAATTTTTGCTGCTTAAAGATTTTGTGGAAAATGTGATAAACTACCATTCAGAAGTTTGGCATAGGTAAGATTTAAAAAAATATACATTAAATAAATTAAGCAGTGAAGCATTAAATTGATAAAAGTGAGAGTAAAGATATTTTTAATGTTACAATGTCACAAATGTATAATTCAAATAAATGCTGTTCTTTCGAACATTCTATTCATCAAAGTCTCCTAAAAAATGCAAAACAAAAATATTAAGAAGCAAAAACATTTTCAACATTGATAATATAGACGCAAATCAGCATATTAGAATGATTTCTGAAGGATCATGTGACAATGAAGACTGGAGTAATGAAGCTGAATAAATTCACAGGAATAAATTACACCTAAAAATACATAGAAAACAGTCATTTTAAACTGTAATAATATTGCACAATAAAATAAAATACAGCCTTGGTGAGCATAAACATTTAAAAAAAATAATTTTCAAAAACATTTAAAAAAAGCATAATTATTCCACACTTTTGACCAGTAGTGTAGTGTTTTTCAAGGCTTCTATTATTATATCATAAAATAAACTATCTTGGTTAATACAAACACAAATATTGCACCATCTTCATATGAAAGGGTTTTTCCCTGCTGAGATCAGAGGTGCAGTTTTCTCCCGAGACGTTCACAGGACCATGTGTTTTCACCCCTCAAGGAGTTCAGACAGACCTTGAGGCGCTTTCTGCTGGACTTTGACGTAATCTGCTCCACACATGTGGTTGAGTTTCCCACTACTGCTGTCATTCGAAAGCACCACCTGCAGTTTGGAGCGAAGAAACGGCTCCATTTCTCTCATCTTCAATGCGCCGATGCCGTTGGCTCCATCCACCAGAAGCCTCTTCTGATCATCTGTGCGGTTTGAGGCCTTTGGAATACAAATAGGGAAGCAAATAATGCTAGAAATAATCACCATCATTAATGCTCGCTGTTTTTATGTCTCGCTTACGTTCTGGGTGAGCTGAAGGAAAGCCTGTGAGAGTTTTTGGTAGTAGCCCTCAACAGTGGGACTGCCGTAGCAGCCGTGCGTGTTGCAACAGCACACCATATAATGCAGCTGGGGAGTGGTGACCAGACCATAGTCTTAAAGAGAAACACACACCCATCAATCTGGCACAATATAATCAACAGAGCAATTCATCAACCTTTGTATTGCCATAACAAGCTGTACTTATAATCTAAAAAATAATGCAAATGCAAGACAACTTTAAATGAGCTTTTAAGCAAAATAATCAAGGTCAATAAATTAAAAAAGTTTTGAAATCCATAACCACACCATGAGTTTTGCCGCCCAAACTGGAAACGCCATCCAGTACAGCCCGAGAGAGACTAGCACCGCTTGGTCTGAAGAAAACAAAAAGAGAGATAAAATACTACACTTAAATTATGCATTTTATACATTACATTCAATCAATTTACATACCAATATATTATTTATCAAATTATGTGCTTTATAATTTGGTGACTGTTTTTTTTCTTGTTGTGGAATAAAATAATATTTTTCTTCTTTACAACACAAAACTGTATGTACCTCATAAATCATGCTTTGTAAGAAAGAGTTGCAAAAAAGCATATGTTGACATTTTTTTGTGATCTGGTTGATAATTTATAAAACACATTAATATACTTTTTGCTTTACATTACGTTTTTTTTTTTACATATTACATTTTTTTTCTTTTTTACATATTAATTTAATTTATAAATTAATTCAGAGGCTCTTTGAAAAAATAAGTTCTTATTCTTAAAAATAAGAACGAATACAAAATATAGATCTATATCTAAAGTAGTGAAATTGTGGAATAACAACATGACAAAAAAAAATCTCAAAAACAGATAATTTGCACAATATGTGCAATACTTGAAACAACTGTACTCATGTATGAAACATCTGTAACTTTTAATTATTCGAAAGTTGTCTTAACGTTTTTTTGTATACATTTCTGTGTAAGTATAAATCCAGTAGTGAAAGTCTCGCTTATTATATTTTTAATGAAATAGGGTATATGTATGTAATATGTATATGAAATCAATCCTGATGATGATAACAATCAACTACACTGGCTGTTCAATCACATTTTCTGACTGTGAAACCTCTGTTGGCTGTTTTCTGACTTGATCTACTGGCTTGGCAACTATGAAGTCTACAGGTTTGGTAACTTCTCTCTTTATGTACTTAAGCTTTCAATTTGAACTCTTGTTAAATTTCCCGCTGTGTAAACAGAAGCCAGGCTACCTGGTGTCTTTGCCGACGTAGATGCTTGCAGGCTCGCTCATGTCGATGTCCTCTTTCTCGATAATGTCCTTCAGTTCTTTGAGAAGAGAGTCCTGCTCGGCGTTAGCGAGCTGTGTGGCGTATCCCTCCCACACCGCTGTCACCATCTCCCCCATGGGGTCAGTAAGCTTCACCCCATTGTCTTCCTGAAAATGATGAGGATAACATTGCAGAACGTCCTCGGAAAGTGAAAAACGCCGCACTATTCTATTGTTATAACAGTAAATGTGGACACAGATGGGTGTGTTTCTTACTTCTGGGTTATGAGAAGCGGTCACCATGACTCCAATGGTGGATTTTGTCTTTTTGGACCTCAAAGTTGCCAACAGCCCCATGCGGAACATGATGTGATCCAGATGTTTGGCGTGAGTGCGGAATCCAGCTGTGCCATACTGCAACGCAAGGCCCTCCGGCTTCGGATGCAGCTTGGACTTTTGAGATACTTCCTCAAACTGAGCCATCTCTGAAAACAAACACATAAACGACTTAGCTTGATTCATTTATTTTGATTAAATTATATTCTGTTAACCCGCACCGCACCGCCCGTGTACTGCGTTAGGCTAACCGAGACTTGTCATTTGCACTTATATATTGTTGCTCTTTTGTTAGTTTTGACTGCTTTTATTGTCCTCATTTGTAAGTCGCTTTGGATAAAAGCGTCTGCTAAATGACTAAATGTAAATGTAAATATCCTAGTCCTCACATCATCTGCAGGGTCAAAATAATTTACAAATCAAAATTTAAACTTTAAAATTCAAAATGTAAATTGTGAAATATGAAATGTATAATAATTTCGAATTTCAATATGTAGAATAATGTACAATTTTGAAACAAAGTTTTGCATTTTAAATGTAAAAATATAAACTCAAAATGTACAGTTTTACATGTTAAATTCAAAACATTAATTTTTAAATGTAAAATGTAAAGTTCTAAATTTAAAATAGTGTGTCACTGCCATTTTTGAATTTACAAATCAAAACCCCTCAACCAACTTGTATACTTTTTTCTGCCTTATTTATAAAATACAGAGTTCTGGCATGAAACTCTAGATGGCGCAGTCCGATAGGTCTAACTCAATCTGACCTAATGACATCATTATCACATGGCACAGCTTTTCAGGCCAATAGCATTAAAGCCTCATCCATTTTTCCCTTAGTGAATTTCATTCAAAGATATCGTGAGTCACTTTCATGTACAATTTACCTTGTTTTACTCTGTTGCTATACTAATTTTGAGTTATTATGACTCCAGAGTAACAAAGGTTCAAGTGTCTAGTTTCAAACAATACCAGATTTATAAATATAGACCATAGGGTTCAAGAGCTACAGACATTTTTATTTGGGTATGTCGTTTTTCAGAAAATGCTCAAAAATAGGGGCGCACAGTAAGTGGTTAATAACAGGATCACCCACTGTGATTAACATTAAACCACTGCATATAATAATTATTATATAAAAATTAAGAATTAAAAACCCCAAGCAGTCTGTGATTTATGATGCACATATATGCAATAACCAAAACAATAATTACGGTAATAAACCAATCCCAAGATAAACAACAATTAGCAATTTAGATTTTCCAAGTAAAGTTTGATTTTTTTAAAAGAATTATAAATTGTAATAATTGAATTCAATTATTACAATTACTACAATCAATTATTACAAATAATAACTTAATTCAGTCTGAAATGAATGAAATTCCTAATCGCACAACTGCAAACATTATCCGGACTTGCAAACGAAAACAAGACATATGCAAACTAATAACAGCTGTTTTTGTTATTTGGCATTAGATCATTTTAATATGAACACAGCTGATGAAGTTTATACTCACTCTGCTGCTTCTGCGACTAAAGCACTTCCTACTTCTCGGATTACGTGGCTACAGTGACGCACGTCGCCACGCCCCCTTTCCTGACGTACTCAGGAACTTGATGCATATTTTAATCAAATCAGTTTAGCTTAACCCACAGATCAAAGTCTAATTATATTAAAGGTTTGCAGTGTGTGCTAACCGAGAATTTTCATTGTTATTCCTGAGATACTGGATTTAAAATGAACAAAAATATTATTATTTATTGATAAATTTCTCATCACAGGTATAATAATTATTGTTAATTATACAATTATTATAATGAATTCTTTATTTCAGCAAACTCAATCACATCAGATTTTAATTAATTAATTAATTTAATGTCTTTAACTTCAAGAACTGACTTATAGTGAGGATGCAAAAATATTTTTTAATACTTTTTCAGCACTACATTTTTTTTTTTTTTTTTGGTTCATTATCAGCTGTGTAAACATGTTCCGAAAACATGATGTTGCTGCAGATGTTATAACTCGGTTCCCATTTCACTATTGAGGAATGGCTTCTCAGATGTTTATGCCTGACATTTTTTAACAAACTTTTTTTTTTTTGTACAATAGAAAATGAAAAACACAATAGAGACCCTTCACGGTTCGAAAGAGACACATGTCTGATGTCTGACAAAATGAAGTAGACAGCCAGACACAGAACAAGGAGAGAGAGAAAATCGGTGGCCAATAACAGTTAACTGCTGGCGCTTTTCCACTGCGTGGTACGACTCTGCCCGGTACGGCTCAGTACGGCACGGTTTGCGTTTCCACTGCAGTTTAGTACCGCTTTAGAGTGGGCGGGATTATTCACATGTTGTTATAGTTGCGCCGCCTCTACTACCACGACTCCTAAAAAAAAAAAAAGTAACAGGTACCGTACCTAGTGGAAAACCCCCCAAAAGTGAACCGTACCGAGCCGTACCATGCAGTGGAAAAGCGCCATTATAAGCTCCCTCTCAGCTAGGACTGACCCTCACACACCTGTGGTAAACTTAACAACAACCCTCTTGGATTCTTATGCACTCTCTGTAGTCAACTTTTGTTTGTTTTTATGTTGCTGCTGAAGAAAAGTGAACTTTGCAGCTGCTTCAACAAGAAGAGGAGGTCCTCATGGTAGATTCCTGCGTCCCGCTGCGCGCACTGTACCTGCACACATACACAGCACAATGGCACATGGCTTTCCCCGTCTAAAAGGCTTTAATTACTGGTGTTGATTAATCTGGAGAAGACTGCTGGCTTTGTTCCTGGCCTGAGCTCTGAGCTGGATGGTGAGTCTCCAGGGTTACTCTGCATGAACAGAGCTGCAAAACAAGAAACTTCTACTTTACTACTTCTGACTGGTGAGTAGAAAAAATAATTGATGGGTCTCATATTTTTTCTCAGTATTTTGATTTTTTTGCACCCTCAGATTCCAGATTTTGTATCTCGGCCAAATATTGTCCTATCCTAACAAACCATACATCAGTGGAAAGCTTATTTATTCAGCTTTCAGATGATGTATTAATCTCAATTTCACACAAATTGACCCTTATGACTGGTTTTGTGGTCCAGGGTCACAAATGAAGATTTGCATTTGTGTTTGAAATATTTAGGATGTTTACAAAATGTGATTTTAATAACGTCTTTACGAGTAAAAAAATATTTCTTTATTGGCATTTGTGGTTCCATGAAGAACCTTTAACGCCCATGGAAACTTTCTATTTCACAACCCAGCTAACAATAATATGTTCTAAGAACATTTTGCTAATGTTACTATTAAGTTATGAAAACATTATTTCTGAATGTTGAACATTTAAAGCATCCAGATTTATAAATGTTTTTAAAAAGTTTTTTGTGTGAAAAGGTTGTGAATGTCAACATTTTGCAAACATTATGTAACGTCACTTTTGATTGTAAAAAGCTTCAGACAGACATTAAACTAAAACTTTTCATAAATAAAGTTCCATGAACAATTTATAAATGACATTGTTGTGCAAATGTTTTTAGAGAAATACCGGAAAATAAAGGCTCTTTACTGGCATCAATGGTTTCATGAAGAACCGTCAAACATCCTTGGAAACTTTTATTGGACAAAAGGTTCTTTATAGTGAAAAATTGGTTCTTTTAAGAACTGTTCACTGAAACGTTCTTTGGAGAATCCAAAATGGTTATTCTATAGCAAAATCCCTCGTTTGGAATCTTTATTTTTAAGTGGAAATTTAAACAAATGTTACAACATAAATGGTTCTTCTATGGCACTGACATGAAAACCCTCTTTTAGAACCTTATTTTTAAGTGTATGATGAACATCACTCCTACTGAAAATCTGCTTTGAAAGTGTTTCATATGTCTTCTTGTTTGTGTACTATGATTTTGTTTTTGGTGCAAATTATGTGTGTATATTCTTTGTTAAGAGCTAAATCAGCCATTGAGAGATGCCTCTAAAGAGAGCCTCTAAAAGAGAGTCGGCCACTGATAAAGTGTCAGATGAAGGTACAGAAAAGACAGTGAAAGACATTGTTTTTGGTGCAAATTATGTGTGTATATTCTTTGTTAAGAGCTAAATCAGCCATTGAGAGATGAGGGCCTCTAAAAGAGAGTCGGCCACTGATAAAGTGTCAGATGAAGGTACAGAAAAGACAGTGAAAGACGATGCAGTTCATCTCAGGAGGAGTATAGGCCTGCTGCCGTCTATTTCCTTCATCATCGGCACTGTGGTGGGCAGCGGCATCTTCATCGCCCCCAAAGGCGTGTTGATGAATTCGGGCAGTGTGGGATTGTCCCTGCTGGTCTGGGCTCTGTGTGGCGTCCTCTCCACTTTTGGTGAGGAACATCTTCGGTACTTCTACACTACTGGTCAAAAGTTTGGAATAATGTTTAATGATTTTGAAAGAAGTCTCTTATGCTCAACCAAGGCTGCATTTATTTGAGCGAAATGCTGTAAAAACAGTAATACTGTTAATTAATAATCACATTTTAAATGACTTTTTTTATGTTTTATTATACTTGTAGAATGTCATTTATTCCTTTGTTTCAAAGCTGAATTTTCAGCATCATTACTCCAGTCTCCATTGTCACATGATCCTTCAGAAATCATTCTGATCTTTTTTATTAACGTCAATGTTGAAAACAGTTTTTGCTGCTTAATATTTTACACTACTATCCAAATGTTTGGGCTAAACAAGATTTACGAGAAGAAATAATACTTTTGTTTAGCAAGGACCCATTAAATTTATCAAAAGTGACGGTAAGATATTTATATTACAAAAGATTTCTATTTCAAATAAATGCTGTTCTTTTTATTTATCAAGGAATCCTGGAAAAAAGTATCTGTCAGGGTTATGTTTTGTTTAGTTGGATTTTTGTTCTTGCATCTTGATTTCATGTTTGCTCTTTTAGATTAGCCTTTAACATGCCTTAGTTACTTTCCTTAGTTACTGATTACGTTCACCTGTCCATCATTAATCACCCAAAAATGAAAATTCTGTCATCATTTACTCGCCCTCAAGTTTGTATGAGTTTCTGTTTTATGCTGAACACAAAAGAAGATATTTTGAAGAATGATATAGTAACCAAACAGCTGACAGTAGCCATTCCATTGTATATAGTATAGAAGTCAATGGGTACCATCAACTCATTCTTCAAAATATCTTCTTTTGTGTTCAAAACAAAACTTTTAATCCAAGTTAAATCCATTTTTTGACATATAGCATGTTCTCCTCAGGTGCTTTATGTTATGCTGAGCTGGGCACGAGCTTTAGAAAATCAGGTGGTCATTACACTTACCTGTTGGAGACCCTGGGGCCCCTGCCTGCCTTCCTGCAACTGTGGATTGAGTTCATTTTCATCAGGTGTGTGTGCATGCAGTGTTTGTATTTTGCTGTGTTTACAGAACCGGAGTGAGTCCAATCATAATGTCACTTCAGACCCGCAGTGGCCACATACGTGTCTCTGGCTTTTGGCCAGTATGTAGTGGAGCCGTTATTCATGCCGTGTGCCGCTCCAACAGCTCTGGTCAAAGTCGTCAGCATGCTGGGAGTCAGTGAGTGACGTTACTTTATTGATTACTTTAGTCTAAACATCTAAATCTGTCAAAAAACAACAAATGATGTTGTAAAACTATAAACTGTTCTGCCTAGCGTTTGTGGCGGCAGTGAACTGCTGGAGTGTGTCGATGGCAGCTCGTACACAGGTCTTGCTGACCTTCATCAAGATGTTTGCTCTGATTCTGATCATCATCCCGGGCATCATGGCTCTGGTCAATGGTAAGAGACACATGCTTTTTTATCTGCTGCAATACAGTATTCATTTAGGATTACTCTGGAATGTTTTCAAACAAAACATATATTCATTTTATTTTCATAAACCTGTGTAAGAAATTCAAAAGGGGCTAAGTTGTTGTTGTTGTTTTTAAAAAAAAAACATCATTTGTAAAGCCTCAGTTTAAACTCTGGTCAAACAGAACTGAATGCAAAAAGTATAATTTTATATCTCTTAAACTTTTTTTTAAATTTTTTTTAATTAAAATAAACATTTCCTAATTCATTTTGATAGTTTTGGCTCATTTCAAAGGTTTGATTCCTATACAATTTTTTATGAATGTATGAATTTTTTATATGTCAAAAATGGACCTGAATACATTATAAGACGAGAGGCAGCAAATGGACTTGACATTTCAAATTTTTCTATTTCAGGGAAAACTGAAAATTTCCGGAATGCCTTTGACTCAGATTCTTTATCTCTGACCAAACTGCCGCTGGCCTTTTATTCAGGTCTTTATGCATATGGTGGATGGTGGGTATTAGCAGCAGTGTCAAACATATAAAAATCTAAAGGAAGGGATTTCCAAAATAATGTAAAAGTGTTTATTTTTGCTTACAGGTTTTATTTAAATTTCATAACTGAAGAGGTAATTAATCCAAACAGGTATTCAGAAGTTCTTGCATTGCCAAATTGTTTTTTTCCCCCCCAATTATTATTAATATATAAAAGCTCTTAGATCAATTTCTCATATATCCCTATTAGAACCATCCCACTGGCCATCGTTTTCTCTATGGTGACTGTTACCGTGTTTTACGTGCTGATCAATGTGGCTTACTACACCATTATGACCGCGAATGAGTTACTGATGTCAGGTGCCGTGGCAGTGGTTAGTAGTGGTCTTTGGAGATATTATTACAGGCTTTAGTTTGGAGAGTAAATGTCAAGGCTGTGCTCTCCTTAATGTACCGCAGACATTTGCAAGTCGGGCTCTGCAGGGTGTAGCTCCAGCAATACCAGTATTAGTCGCTCTTTCCTGCCTTGGAGCACTTAATGGAGGATTTTTTAGTTCACCCAGGTAAGGATCTCAGAAACGCAGAGGCAAAAGATGTTTTGTATCTAAAAGTATGTTTTATCTTTGTAGTAGTCTTTGACTTTGACCAGTTAAAAGTTAAAAGAATGGTACACTCAGAAATGAACATTTGCTAAAAATTTACTCACTCAGGCCATCCAAGATGTAAATGAGTTTGTTTCGACATCACTTGCGCACCATTGGATCATCTGCAGTGAATGGGTGCCGTCAGAATGAGAGTCCAAACAGCTGATAAAAACAGCACAATAATCCACAAGCAATCTACAGGACTCCAGTCTATCAGTTAACAATTTGTTAAGTGACAAGCTGTGTGTTTGTAAGAAACTAATTCATCATTAAGACGTTTTTCATTTCAAACCATTGCATGTGGGTAAAATATGAGTCTTCGATTGCTTTCTCTAGTAAAAAAAAGTTGTCTCGTCAGCTTCAGGAGAGAAATATGCACATATTAAACCCATTTACAAGCAAAAACAGTTCTAAACAAATGTGTGGGTGGATTTTGATGTGAGACAACATCAGGGGATCGACTTTTTCACTGGAGGAAGCGTTATTATGGACTATCAACCATGCAACGATTTAAAGTTAAAACACCTTAATTATGGATTTGTTTTTTTACAAACACACAGGTTTTCACTTCTTCACAAGATGTTAATTGATGGACTGGAGTGGTGTGGATTACTGGGATGTTTTTATTAGCAGTTTGCTCTCTCATTCTGACGGCACCCATTCACTGCAGAGGATCCACTGGTGAGCAAGTGATGTAATGCTAAATTTCTCCAAATTTGCTCCATTGAAGAAACAAGCTCATCTACATCTTGGATGGCCTGAGGCCCTGAGGGTAATGTTTCAGCAAATTTTCATTTTTGGGACTACTATTCCTTTAAGATTTTATAACTGTCTTTCTGCAGGATGTTGTTTGTGGGAGCCAGAGAGGGTCACTTACCAGCTATCTTCTCCATGATCCATATCCGCAGACAAACACCACTGCCAGCTGTGCTATGTTTGGTACGATCACATCCATTCATCCTTTTCTCCCAGTTCCTTAATGCCTGTTTACGTTTCTTCTGATGTTTGCAGTATCCTCTGGTGATCATCATGATGGCGAGAGGAGAGATCTTTCAACTGATCAACTTTGCATCCTTCTCCCGTTGGCTCTTCATTGCCTTGGCCACATTAGGAATGATCATCCACCGCTACAGATTTCCAGATCATCCCAGACCATTCAAGGTCCATTTAAATGGCTCATTACTGATTTATTAATAGGAATTTGTCACTGTATTAATTAAACATTGTGTTGACTGTGTTCAGGTCCCTCTGGCAGTTGTGGTGATGTTTACCATAGTGTGTTTCTTCATCGTGGGTCTGTCCTTGTATTCGGACCCCTGGAATACAGGTGGCAGCTGTGCCCTCACATTATCAGGAGTACCTGTGTATTACCTGACAGTCAAGAAGTCATACATACCCAAACGCTGGAAAAAAGCCTTCAGTGAGTAACGTTAACGCAAAATACATTTATTACCCTTACGAAAATTAACCATGGTTTTACTACAAAAAAAACATGGTTACTACAGTTAAACCATGGTAACTACAAAATAGCATGCGTTTGCTACACTAACCATAGTTTAATAATGGCATTTGTAGTAAAACTTTAGTGATACAAATGGTAAACAATAGGCAAAAAAAAAGGTTACTACACATTTGCTAAACATTCATTGCTATAGATCTTAGTCCGATTACGCGCCATATTAAATTTAACACTGATGAAACAAGGCTGTGAGAGATCTTTACAATGGCACTCACTGTCTAAAGTTTCAAAACCATTTTGAGTTTTTGTCTACTTAAAGTCTTTTTCGGAAAGACGTTTCGTCAGCTGAAAAATCGGTATGTTGTTTAACAACATACAATCCACTGAACGCACTGCATTTCTATTCCTCAAAGCCTCATTTTCATTCCAATAGAAACATAAATATGGCTCTACTCAAAGGTCAGAAAAGATCCAATGATTGACCTCTACTTCCTCTTGTGCAGATTATTTAAGCCTACATCTGCAGATACTCCTGGAAGTGGCTCAGCAGGAAGTTCAGACGTACTGATGGAGCTTCACCAAACTACAGACCTGAGTGTTGCAAAGGGCATCAAAGTTCATTTTAGTGGTGTTTGCTATCACTATTAGCCCTAACCACCCTAGCATCCATATTGCAACATCCTATCCATTAGTGCAAGCATCACTTATATTTTCATCTAGTTTATATTCAAATCAGACAGGACTATGTCCTGGCAAGTCATGCTGTTGGGTTAAAGGGATAGTGCACTCAAAAATGAATATAACCATAGTTTAACAATGGCATTTGTAGTAAAACTTTAGTGATACAAATGGTAAACAATAGGCAAAAAAAAAGGTTACTACACATTTGCTAAACATTCATTGCTATAGATCTTAGTCCGATTACGCGCCATATTAAATTTAACACTGATGAAACAAGGCTGTGAGAGATCTTTACAATGGCACTCACTGTCTAAAGTTTCAAAACCATTTTGAGTTTTTGTCTACTTAAAGTCTTTTTCGGAAAGACGTTTCGTCAGCTGAAAAATCGGTATGTTGTTTAACAACATACAATCCACTGAACGCACTGCATTTCTATTCCTCAAAGCCTCATTTTCATTCCAATAGAAACATAAATATGGCTCTACTCAAAGGTCAGAAAAGATCCAATGATTGACCTCTACTTCCTCTTGTGCAGATTATTTAAGCCTACATCTGCAGATACTCCTGGAAGTGGCTCAGCAGGAAGTTCAGACGTACTGATGGAGCTTCACCAAACTACAGACCTGAGTGTTGCAAAGGGCATCAAAGTTCGTTTTAGTGGTGTTTGCTATCACTATTAGCCCTAACCACCCTAGCATCCGTATTGCAACATCCTATCCATTAGTGCAAGCATCACTTATATTTTCATCTAGTTTATATTCAAATCAAAGACAGGACTATGTCCTGGGAAGTCATGCTGTTGGGTTAAAGGGATAGTGCACTCAAAAATGAATATTCTGTGATAATTGACTCACTATCATGTCATTCCAAATCCATTAGACTTCGGTTAATCTTCAAAACATAAACGAAGATACTTTTCATGAGATCTGAGATGTTTCTGTTCCTCCACTGAACATTAATGTAACCAAAACTTTGTCCTAAAATGAAGCAGTTTAATGTAAGTCTTAATGTGAAGAGATACGATTGCTTCATTTGATCAACTATCCCTTTAAGGACCATTTCGTAATAATTGTAATAATAAGTGTTTGTATAAAGTATCCCTTTATTCTCAAAACGTAAGTACAGTAGGAAGAGAAACCAAATTGTATGCTTTGTTGGAAATGACAATGAGTGTTTCTGGTTAAAGCCTGTTACATCAGTAAAATGCCAAGTAGATAACTTTTATATTTTAATAGTCTTCAAAAATAGTACAAAATGGTTCTTTCAATGGCAAATGGTCTGAATGGGACATTTGTTTGTATCACCAAAATATTTGCTGTTGAGAAATGTTATAGTTGATTATTACATGACTGAATTCTTACAGAAACCAAGTATCAAAGCACATAGCTTTTTAAATGTCTGTGCATCAATGTACTGTTATTAGTAAATAGTACTTAATTTCTAATGCTCGTGTAACATCTTAACACCAAAAATCTGTCAACCGTTTAGTTTTTGTATATTTTTATGACATCTTGCTGTTTTTACATTGGAATAATGCAATACAATGTATCATGAATTAACACAGCTACATTTTGATGGTGGTCTTCTAAGCATATATGAACTCTGCGCATGCCCACTAATTACTCTACATCAACATTCAAATGCAAATCAACATTAAAAGCTTTGTAATACACCACAAATCTCTTTGAACTCTCATCTTGGTCATATCCAACATTCAGAACACAGTCTTAAATCGTTCTTAATAGCAAAAACAAATGAATGCAGAAAAGCAGCAGCAGCAGAGATGAGTCACTATTCTGACATGCTTGTAACCATGAAAACACATTATGGATGTTATAAACGGCTCCATTCACTCCAGATGAATGACTGACAAATTCTAGTGCAACACTTACATGACCATCTGCAATTATCAAACCACCATTAAAGGGACAGTCCACCCAAAAATTACCATTCTGTCATTATTTAGTCGCCCTCAAGTTGTTCCAAACCTGTGTAAATTTCTTCCTTCTGTTGAGAATAAAAGAAGAAATTCTAAAGGATGTTGGTAACCAAAAAATACTACTACAATGGCTACCGTCAACTGTTTGGTCACCAACATTCTTCAAAACATCTTCTTTTGTGTTCAACAGAAGAAACTCAGGTTTGGAACAAGTGGAGGGTGAGTAAATGACAGAATTCTCATTTTTGGGTGAACTATCCCTTTAATTTGAATGCGAGTTTATGTTACACCCCAAGTTCTCTTAAAAATATTTTTAGCGTCAGTCCCTCTGGCTAATCCAAGGTGTTCAAAATCATTCCAAAACAAAGAAATACTGTAAAATTGGGTAGTGTAATTTAATTAATCTGGTAAATCTGTATGTTCACTTATAATACACACTCTCTCGCTCTCACACACACACTCATATTTATATATTACAACTTGTGCAAATTAATCTTATCTAAGTACATTCGTCACTAACAGTTTTGCTCGCAAATAAAGGCCTACACATCCAAAACACAAACATGTACAGTAAAAGGCAGTGAAATAGCAATAGAAATGAAGAAAATACTTAAGAGATGAATAGCAAGTAAATAAGAATCAAAGGCAGTGAAGGAAGTGTGAGCAGCTCGGATAAAGGAATGGGAGTCACTTCAGCTCCGGGATAAATTGGGACCAGCTGATGTTTGCCATGCCGAGATCAAAGGTGGACGCACACAGCATCACCGAGCTCACGTCGCTCTGTGAGACCTTTCACAACACACACAAGCGTTAAAACAACCAGAACTTTACTTACTTTTTTTTAATAGCAGGATGAAATATGACCTGTTTTATAGAAATAAACAGGCTTTATATTAGGAGCTATCCAAACCCTTGTTGACTGCTCTTAAAATGGTTTACAAGCCCAAAGCCAGCTGATCAACTATCTAGATCAGCTTGGATCAGTACAGGTAAATGACCATTAAAATCTGATTAAGGCTAGATTTTCAGTAGTATTTCCCCACGTGAAATGAATGAGTGAATAACATGCAACCAAATAAATATGGGAAAAATCATTTTATAAATTAATAATTCAATATTTATCTCTTCCATAGCAAAGTATTGACACATAATGGTCATGTGTGCTGTACTGCATTTAAAATTATGCTGGGGAAAAAAACTGCATATATTACAGTAATCAGAATCACCACTGAGAAAAAAAAAATAGGTTTAATTTTTCTATAATACAACTTTTTTTTCTTTTGATGAAATATGACCTAGGACAGTTTTTGTGAGATTCATTCATTTAAACATTTAGGGTGTACCTTGGGGGCAATCCGGACCCTCTTGCTCGCACCGCTGGAGCTGGGAGTGGAGGAGCTCGGAGCATGTGGAGGAGTGGCGAGAGTTGCAGGACTGGAGGAGGGCAGGAAGAGCGACTGACCCAGAGGAAGCTGGATGGGAACCAGGTACGAGTCAGTCCGAGGCAGAAGCGGCTTCATCTTCCTCTCTGAGGACGAGCAGAGATAAAACGACTGTCAGGAAACAAACTCGTCACACATGCGGAGACATTCATCCCCTCTCATCCAGCCAACACTCACCCGTGCCGCCCGTGGCAGGTATGGCTTTCTTCAGCTCCGGAGGACCTCTCTTCTGTTGCTACGGAGAAAAAAAAGACACTTTCTTTACTTTCACACAAAGTGTGGTATTCAGTCTAACTGCAGTCTCAATACTGTCTGCCTTTTTGATGACTCTCAGATGATTAAAAGAACAAAACAAGCGATGATCTCGAGCTGAACGTTCTTCCTTCTGTCTGACTGTCTCTGAAATAAAATAAGTGATTCCTGGAGAAGTAGAGAGGCTGGTCCCTGTCTTACACCCTGACGATCTGCCATGTGAGGACGAATTAGAAGGAAAAAGGGTCTTACTTTATTGAAACCAACTTGTGGGATCTGAGGGCAAGTGGGGGTCACTGGGTCAACCAAAGGCTGTGGGACGAGCCAGGAAATGAGAGATGACCACATTTGAAGCATAAAATCGCATATGAACCCAGTAGCACAGTAAGGGATACACACCTTGTAAACTTGGTCCAAAGTAAGACAGCGGTTTGCTTCCGGTCGAATCGTCCAATAGGAGATCTTGCCATCGGGAGATGTCTCCCGGACAAACATGTCATGTAGTGAGAGGTTATGACGTATGGAATTCTAACAAAAAAGTTTAATCACACTCAGAAATCTTACAAGAGAGGTTTATGTAAACTGAAACTATACTGGTTTTACACACTACCTTCCATCCGGGTTTGGCAACATTTCTGAAATACGGAAAATGGTCCTCGATCCAGTTGTAAATTTCCTTCAGGGTCATGTGTCGGTTCTTCTTGCTGTTGATAGCAAACTGGATCATAGCCATGTAGGAATACGGGGGTCTCTCTGACAGAGGGTCCTTCTCCTTTTCTGGAGCTTTGGGCTGCTTATGAGGAAACAAACAAACTATTTTTAAGAATGAATTGTAAAAAAACTAAATATAGAAGAAACAAACAAAAAAAAAAAAACAACATTATTTATTAACCAATTTGTAAAGCTGCAATGAAACGGAAGCAGTGACAGATCTTTTCCTCCGTATTGTGGCATAAATCCAAGACCAAATCATTTGAGAAGTCCAGTCTGTCGTTTTCACCGGAAGATCCAGTTATGACATTTTAATGAAATATTGCGGGGTCAAAAAATTTTTTGAAAATGAAACGTATGCACAGAAGTATTATTTACAATAAGATCTATAACTTTGTATTTTCATACAAAGGGCCAAATTTGATTAAGGGAAGTGGGCCAAAAATAAATGTTGCATTATATTCAACAATACACTAAAATGTATGATATATATATATATATATATATACACATTTATATATAAATGATAC